TTTTATTTTTATTTGAAATTCCAATCATAATGTCTATTCAAATATTTTAGTGATGGAGTAAAAATTAGGAGTAAAATTTAGAGTTTAAAAAAAAATATTTATTATTATATTTTTGCTATTATTAGACCTTGTAGAAGAATCTTTGTTCCCACTCAAATATTTAATGGATTTGACATTCCCAATATCTCCACTAGGAAAGCCTTAGAGCAACGCAAATTAAAACAGGTTTTTTTTTTTTTTTTGGGTGAGTTTTTCGGGTGAGGTAGAGGGAAGAGAGTGTAGAAATATGATGGTGAGGCATATGATTTCTCTCTAAATGTTAGGGGGTTCAAATCTTACATCATGAGATTTTTGTTTTGGCCTTTTTTTTTTAATATTATATTAATAGTGAATTTATAATTGTTATTAATGAGATTAATTTCTAACTCTAATTGGATTTTTTTATTTATAATATTATATTTTTTTCCTTATTTTTAATATTAATAGTGATATTAGTGATTTATAATATATTTTATATTCGACATATTTTATCTAATTAACTATATTTCATATTTTGTTTTGAATATTTTTTTGTTTATCTCATTTTGACGTATTTTAATTTTTCATCTCTAATCAACAATATTGATGGCTCAACTTTAAGTAGTTTTTTTATTTTTTTTTTTAATATCTCATTGATTTTTAATCTTTTGTCCCTACTAGTGAAGAATTTTGGACACACACACACACAATTTGATTGGAACAATAATATAATATTAAATATAATTGATAGATTTAATTAATCCGGGGTGACCCGAATTACTAAACCAATAAATAAGGAAATAGTACATAGATAGAAAGATAGGCAAAACGATGTCATAGTAAGGTCGCGAAGACCGAATATTATATTAGATAAGGATTATCGAATTGTTACAAGGTGAATGTAAAGTTATTACAGCGATAGATTAGGACAAAGTAGATAGAAAGTTGTAAGAAAATGTGTAGTGTCCTAATGGGACAAACAATGAGGTATTTAAACAAAATAAACCCCCAACGAACCGACCCCCATAAACCGGGGATGGTTGCATCACCCATGTTGATCGAGTCCAGTGGTCGGTAGCGCCGAGCTTGGCATGGCCGAGCTCAACATACATGGCCCGAGCTCGGGGCTTAACCTCGGAGTCCCGGGTCCACTCCACACTTCCTTGCTCCGTTTCTCGGGTCGGTTTGCCTCGATCATAATATATCCATAAATAATAATTAAATAAAATAAAATAAAATAAAATAAAATAAAATAAAATATGAGTGATATTTTTTTTAAATTAATCGAGATTTGAGTAACTAGGTAAACAATTGCTGCGTTTCTGAGTTCTGACTAACTAAATAGTATTTTGTCAGTAATGTTAAAAGATATCGATTCAAAATTATTGGCCCTACATATAAAAGTTATAGTACTACGTAAACAAATGCTGCATTTGGAAATAGTAATTTGGTACATATTACATAATGATTTGAAAGGTATCCATTCATGATTCATATTTACTTGTCCCTGGAGCCTGGAGGGTCATCATATATTCATATCCGATCCTACAGGCTACAACTGATATAGTACCTTTCCAAAGATAATATAATTGGTGGGGCAATCGTCACCAAACCTTAGTAACTCGAGGTCGAACCCTATGCAATATAGGTACAGCCAATGCGCCCTATGCCTGTATGCAAATGTACGCATATAATAAATGAATTTGTTTTCTTTTAAGATTGGGGCCTGCTTGGTACAACTTTCATTAAATTGAAACTGTTGAATTTATTTCTTTGTGATTCTTTGACAGTTTGATTTGAGCTGATTAATCATGGAAAATTTAGGTTGGTTTACATCATTGTAATCTTTTTTGATTAGGTTTAATCAACCAGCTATGGATAACATATGTACGTTGATTTCTCTTTGTAGTCTATTGTCGGTGATGAGTGCCAAATTTCACTACTTTTGGGAGCATTTAGTGGCCAATTTGGGATTAGATTTGTTTCATTTGTGCTCAAAATGTCTTGAAATGTGATAAATTTGTTTAAGGATTAACTTTGACGCCTTTTGGAGTTTTGTAGAGAATATGACCAAATCAAGGGTAAATTAGACAAAACGGAGCAAAAATTCGATGAAAACAAAAGTCTTTTATTACGAGCTATGTTACGCTTGTAACAATGCTCGTAATGCTAAGGATTAAAAAAAATGTCATTGTTGCTATTATGAGCGTCATTAAGGTCAACATATTTCTATCCCGCTTCTCAGCGGTCAACATATTTCTATCCAGCTCCTCTGCGGTTGACATATTATTATCTCACTTTTCAGCGGTCGACATATTAATATCTCAATGTCACCAAAATTTCAACAAAATTTAAATCCGTGCATACAAAATTACTTTAAACATACTTAAATTCAATAATCTCAAATGTCACCCCTATTTCCTCCCAAACTATCAAAATATTGGTTAAAGTGAGTACTTGATTCTACTTCTCCATAAATGATTAACGATTAGCTCCCTTTGCATGAATTCTTAGTTGTGCATTTCTGATGATGGGACCAATGTTGTCACATCTTTGTTTTGTTGATGAGGCTTCGTTGGCACAAGTGAATGTCATAAAGCGCTGTTTGGATCAATTTTGTGATGCATCAAGCCAGAAAATTAGTCTCAGTAAATCTCAGGTTCTTTTTTTTTTTTTTTTCCAATAATATTGATCCTGGGTTAATGGATCAGAAGACATAGCTACTACCCTCACTATTCCTAGAACAATGGATTTGGGAAAATAATTGGGGTTCAACCCCTTTTATTAAATTATTGAGTCACCGTAATTTAAATCTTCCCAAATGTTTTATTGGGGTTAAAGAACCGTTAAGATTAAGGAAGAAGTTAAACTCATACTTTGATGTTAACGACCAGCTTTTTCACTGCAGTTAATATCCTTATATGATTATTTTTTTTCCTTTTATTGATCGTCTGCAATACAATCATAACTCAATCTGCAATGACAGATTAAAAATTTAAAGCTGAATAAATTAATTCGTACATGTTTGTTAGTGTGGCAGTAAAGATTATAAATATTAATTAAACATATTTAATTACTGAAAAGCCTGACAAGTTTAATACAGAAAAAATTTAATAATCAATAATCAAGGTGATAGGTCTCAAAGCTCCAAGAGCGTCCGTGTAGAACAAGATGACACATTGCCATTTCTTTTGCATGTTATATATATATATATATATATATATATATATATATATATATATATATGGAAGGGATAAGGTGCATTTGTGGCTTGCCGTGCGGTTGTGCAGTTGATTAATGTGCGTATGTTTTATACTTAATGTGCGTGAGTCTTGTGCTTAATGTGCCTGAGATTTGTACTTAATGTGCGTGAGAGTGTAATGTTAATGTGCGTGAGTTTTATGCTTAATGTGCGAGAGGTTTGTGCTTAATGTGCGTGACTTTTAACATAATCGCACAGGAAGCTATAAACAAAATACTTTCTGACCACAAACCCACACACATTAAACACAAAAGTCAGACGAAGACGAAGACGTATATGATGAAGAACAAAGAGAGGGGAAGAGAGGATTAAAGGAATAGGAAGAGAATACGAAGACGTATATGATGAAGAACAGAGAGGGGGGAAGAGAGGATTAAGAGAATAGGAAGAGAAGATGAAGACGTAGACGAAGATGTATATGAAGAAGAACAGAGAGAGAGAGAGGAAGAGAGGATTAAGGGAAAAGAGAGGAAGAGAAGACGAAGACGTATATGTACGGAGCAACAGGAGCACATTAACAGTACACACTCACGCACATTAAGTACAAAGCTCAAGCACATTAAGCACATGACTCACGCACATTAAGTACAAAGCTCACGCACATTAATCAACCGCACAACCGCACGGGAAGCACCCAACCGCACTGGAACCTTTCACTATATATATATATATATATATATATATATATATATATATATATATATATATATGTGTGTGTGTGTGTGTGTGTGTGTGTGTGTGTGTGTGTGTGTGTGTGTGTGTGTGTGTGTGTGTGTGTGTGTGTGTGTGTGTGTGTGTGTGTGTGAGTTTTTTTTTAAATAAATGAGAGAGTTTTATTGACGGCGAATAGCGCGATCCTCTGAGGTCATACAAAAGAACTGTTTTGGCCTTTTCAGGCAAAGTACAAGAATCAACAAAGATCATCGAATGAGAGGAAGCAAGGCCAGATTCAGCAAGCGTGTCTGCAACCCGGTTAGCTTCCTGGTAGATATGTCTAATCTGGGTATATATATGAGTTTTAGTATATTTGTTTTCAGATCTTACTAAAATTTACTTTTTGATGGATCGTTATATTGTGGACCGCGATAAAAACGGTGCGCCGTTAGTTTAAACGGAACGTGCATTTTGGTGCATGTATAGTCCTAAGCTAGCTCAGATTACTAATTCTTTTGGTTATAGTCCACTGTCGGACACAGTGACCAATTTCCTCGTTGAATTGTAGGCACCTCTTTTTGGTGGGACAGCTGGCCTGAAGATTTAAGGCTGCTCCATTCCCAAAGCCAAGGATCAAACCCTTGACCTTTGGTTAAGGATGGATTACTGGATAAGTCCCTTCAACTCAACCACATTCTCTAGGTTAATAAGGTTACTAATTTAGTAACAAATTAAATAACTAGAGAACCTCAACAGATTGATGACAATCGCATGTAGAAGGAATCCTTATTACCAAAACACAACTTATTACTATTACATTTTAGCTAGCAAATGACATTATTAACTAGCTAGGAGTAATGGTAACCTTTGACTTCAAAAAAAATCCACAACTGTTATTGTGAAACTTAGCACGCAGCAAATTGAAAAATCACAATAAAAAAATAAAATAACTTTTTTTTTTTAGAAGCAAAAAAATAAAAATAAAATAAATTAAATTGTCTATAGTTGACTTAAACTAAGAAAATGAATATATAGCTACACGAGAAGTGGAACTTAAAATCTTGTAGTTATTAAACAAACTGCTATTGGTATTGATTATTAAAGGGCATGGCAGACACACTAATCCTGGTTTTAGTAAATAATAATCATCCTTATTAAGGTAACTTTTAAGTGATAATTAATTAATCCCAACCGGAGACACAACAAGATTAAAGATGCTATCCGTCGCGCCGCAGTTTCCGACGACGCTGTCCAAGTATCCGGTGGAGCAATGGGCGCTAAGGTTTTCCGGTAGAATGAAGGTTGGAAACTCCGATAAGGGATCCATTGCCGGGCCCATTATGTCGTCGCCGGTGGTGTTAGGGTTTCCTAAGGTATTCATATTACAAGTATTGCCTTCCAAGTAACACAACAGCATATCATCGCCGAATCCAACGGCGGAGAACGCTGCTAGGTTTTGGTCGGAAAAGTTTAAGGTTGTCGGAAATTGATCAAGAGCGGCGGCGGAGACAAACATGTAGTCTTCGTCGTCTACATTAATGGGTGAAAGTGAAACCCTAGGGTTTCGCGCCGTCATCGGCGGCTCAGTCCACACCGCTTGCCAAGCTTTTAGCACGTCGAGAGTCGGCGGGACTGTGGGCGGCGGCGGAGGGTTGCTCGGCGGCTTGTGGAGAGAGGAACCGAACATGGTCGAGTGGCGGCGAACGGGGCGAGCTTCGGCTTCGAGCCGAGCGGTCTCCCATTGAGCCATGTGGCGGAGGTTGGCGGCTTCCTTGAAGCCGAAGGGATTGCTCTTTGGCTTGTGCGTGGTTGGATCAATTCCCATCTTACTTAGTCGCTTCTTCAAATGTGAATTCCAATAATTCTTTATCTCATTATCTGTTCTCATTGGCAGGTGTGCTGCAATGGCTGACCATCTATACATATTCAACCAAAAATAACAATTTCTCGAGTTAGTAAACGGACCCAAGAAGGGGAAATATAATAATTACCAAAGAATATAATTGCATGTAGAGTTTGAATATGGGTAGTTACCTATTGCCAAGAAGAGCATGGAGCTGAATGATGGTTTGTTCTTCTTGTAGACTAAATTTTCCTCTTTTAATATCAGGTCTTAAATAGTTAGTCCATCTCAATCGGCAACTCTTCCCACATCTTTTCAGTCCTAAACAAATATTTCGAGAAAAATTTAATTCGAACCCCAACTAAGCATTATCATATATATATATATATATATATATATATATATATATATAGAATTAGGTTCTGGTGCGGTTAGAGTGCCCAGGTGCGGTTGTGCGGTTTAATCTGGACCATTCATCTCGCTTAAATCAACGCTTATAATTGTCAAAATTTTAAAAAAAAAAAAAACGCAGTGGCAATTTTGTAATTTTTGCATGTAGGTCAAAATTAAGGTGAGCGGATATGTGATTAATGTGCGTGGGGTTTGTGCGTAAGATTGTGCTTAATGTGTGTCGGGTTTGTACTTAATATGCGTGAGGTTGTGCTTAATGTCAATAGTTGTTGAAACTTAAAATCTGTGAGTTAATATATTAAAGTGCATGGGGTTTGTGTTTAATGTCCGTGAGGTTATGCTTAATGTGTGTGGGGTTTGTACTTAATGTGCGTGAGGTAGTGCTTAATGTTAATAGTTGTTGAAACTTAAAATCTCTGAGTTAATATTTAAAGTGCGTGGGATTTGTGCTTAATGTGCGTGAGGCTGTGCTTAATGTGTGTGGGGTTTGTACTTAATGTGCGTGAGGTTGTGCAGACGCTATCATTTGTGTAGACGCTACTCATTTGTGTAGACGCTATGTGTAGACGCTAACATTTGTGTGCTATCATTTGTGTAGACGCTGTGTAGGCGCTATCTTCTTCCCGACACGCGTTTTTTTTTTTTATAATTTTTATTGATTTGAGCCGTTGATCTAAATTTGATCAACAGCTCAGATCTAACCGCACGGGAAGCTATACCCGCACCTGAACCCTTCCCTATATATATATATATATATATATATATACCCACCACCCACTATCAGTTAAAAAATCTTGATTCTTATGAGGTGGATTTAGGTGGATATCGAAAAGGCGGATTGAAATTGTCGATCCCTAATCATATTTATCCAAAGATTCAAATTTGACCCACCCAGCCTATTGGCCTCCTTTGTTTAATGAGTCGGTCTATTATAGACAACATATTTAGATTAGTTTACCTCCTTGCCAGAAGATCGCAAGGTAGAGTTTACTCGGTGCAGGCATACTTTGGATTAGTGATTTTAAATTTTCATTGTCAACCAAAAAAGGTAGAAAGAATGTATGGAATACCAGCTTTTGAAGGCAAAGAACGCCAGCTTCCATGGCCGTACTGCTGAATGTAAGCAACCAGCTTCTGGTCTTCTTCAGGTGTCCATGGCCCTTTCTTCAACCCTACCTTTTCAAAGCATGGTGATCTTCCCATTCTCAACCCTAGCTTGGCTTGCTCAGTCTGTCTATATAGAAAGAGAAAGAAAATAAAGAGATAGAGAGAGGGTGGGGAAGTTTATAGGTTGCAGGAAGCTAAGTTGACTTTATACAAGAGATCAGAGAAGAGGTAGGAATAGATATAATGGAGCCGGAAAGGATGACTTTGAGCATTATTTTTCTTTGGAAGAATTTTATTATTCTTAACATTATCGTGGTCTAACCTATTTATTCGATTTACCTCTCTTGGATAATTAAAAAAATAATAATAATTCAATTCTACATGTACTTTCATTTTATACTCTCATTTTTTATTCTTTACAAAGTGCCATGTTTTGGTTGCTTAATATGACAAATTATTGTATGGATCATGGTCTACACAGTGCTGTGTGGACCGTAACAAATAATTCATTTTTAATACACTAAAAGTACATTATTCGTATACTGAATATACATTATATAAAATAATGTGCTTTCAGTACTCAAATAATATACTTTTTCTGAATACAATGTAAATTTTTAATATACGAAAAGTACATTATTTGTTTACTGAATATATATTATTTGATAGTATGATTTATATAGTTGCGTAGATCATGGTCCACACAACAATGATTGACTTAATATAAGGTTAGTCATTATTTTATATTGTAAAAGTTGAGAATGAATTTTTGGGGTCCAAATAATATTTTAGTAAAAAAAAAAAAAGATAGAGAAATAATAACGATATCAATTGCAACATCTACTGCATGCCATAATTTGGTACTCATCACGTGGAAATGAGACGCCCTTCGTTGTTAAATAGTATAGTACGGCTACAATTATACTGTGGACTATGGTTCAAAATGGGATGCATTGTCTCACGTATTATTTTTATTATATTATTAAATGAAACTGCAATTGAAATGAAAATATAGTTGTGTTGAAATAAACTATATTATACAAAATGAAACTAAAAAACAATTTCACATATTTGAGTATATATATTGTCCAGCGAAACTATAGTTATATCAAAATGATATTACAATTTTATAGAAATAAAACTGACAATGCATATTTGATGCCCGGACCACAATGCATTGTGGACTGCAGTCCACCGTAAAATTTGCCATAGTACGGGCGTACCGCCTACTAAATAGGGCGTACGGCCATTTCCTCTACTTTGCACCACACCAATAAAATGTCTACAACAGTGACAAGCTAAGGGAGATGCATGGATACATACCATTTTTAAAGTCGTGTGTGTGTATATATATATATATATATATATATATATATATATACTAGTCTTTTTTATGCCCTATGCGCAAAAACATATGGCAAATATTTATGTTTTAAAAAATAACTAACAAATTTTTATTAATTAAAATCTAAATTAAATAAAATTTATTTATTATATTAATCCAATATATAATGTCTTCAAATATTATTATCGTTAAAAAATATAAGAAAAGATATGGTGGATACATGTGCATGGTAAAAGTAATGGAAAAGATAACAGAAGTTATAACGGTAAGGGTATTTTTGTCCAAAAAATTGTATAGTACAACTCTAAAAGTACAATGTACAAAATTGTTAGCACTAAAAACATAGATGATGGGGTATGGACCCAATGGGCTTAGGGCCTAGGTCATCGAACTACACATCAAAATGTAATTAGGTCATTGAACTCAAAAAAACATGCAATAGGTTTCCTAAACTAACCAATTTCATTCAATTAGTCTAATTTGCAGGTTGTACAGGTCACCCCAAATTTAAAATATTTTTTTAAAATAATTATTTTAAATTAAATTAAATTTTTTAAAAAAATAAAATAAAATAAAATAAACGTCACCGGCGTGCCAGAGATGAAGAAGTTTCTTCGTCTCCGTGGCCGGAGACATAGAGACCCTTCGTCTCCAGCTAGAGACGAATACATGGGTGGAGACTAAGAAACTTCCTCGTCTACGGCGTGACCATTTTTAAAAAAAAAAAAATTAATTTAATTTTAAATAATTATTTTAAATTTGGGGTGACCTGTTAGGAACTTGAAAAACCTGCACATTGAACTAAATGCATGAAATTGGTTAGTTTAGGGACCTAATTGCATGTTTTTTGAGTTCAATGGCCTAATTGCATTTTTGTGTGTAGTTCGATGGCTAATTTGACTCTTATTCATATATACATTGTTGTAAAAATCGGCCTAGGCACCCTAGGCCGTTCCGCTTTCACTATTAGGCGCCCAAAAATCGGCCGGGCGCCTAGGCGGCAAAATCGGCCTAGGCGGACAATTCGGCCGAGTAGGTCGATTTCGTTCGATTTTAACCGTTGTCGTCTAGTCCAGCCGTTCGTATACTAGTTTGATACTTTGAATCTTTGGATGATTGAAATATTTGAATATTTTCATACTTGAGTATTTTTATTTTTTTTAATATTGTTTTGATGTTATGACTTATTAATTATCATTATTTCATTTATTTGGATGTGTTATTTGATTGAAGGTTGAAAAGAGCCTCATTAAAATTGTCAAACTGCAAGTCTGTCACTATTTTTTTAGCGCCGCCTAGATTCCGCCTAGGCGCTAGGTGTTGCCCGGGCGCCTAGCGCCTATTGCAACCATATGCGTATATATATATATATATATATATATATATATATATATATATATATATATATATATATATATATATATCAATGTTGAAAAAATCGCTAGGCGCCCTCTAGGCGCTTGGGGACCGCCTAGAGCGCCTAGGCGGGTGCCTAGAACGTCTAGACGGGCGCCTAGAGCGCCTAGCCGAGCGCCTAGCGCCTAGGCGTCGATTAATCGCCGCCTAGGCGCGATTTTGCAACAGTGATATATATATATATATATATATATATATATATATATATATATATATATATATATATATATATAAAGAAATGGGTTCCGGTGCAGTTGTGTGTGTCAGGTGCGGTTGCGGAGTGAGATGAGAGCCATTGATCTTGTCAAAATCAACGTCCAGGATTAACAATTTTTTTTTAAAATGCGTGACAATTTGATTTTTTTGCATCTTTGTCAAATTTAAGATGCGTGGTTTTCCTTCTTAAGGTGTGTGATTTTTGTGTTGTGTGCTTAAGATGCGTCAATTGTTGAAATTTAAGTGCGTCAGTCTAAAGCCTTAGGTGCGTGATTTTCCTTATTAAGGTACGTTATTTTCCTTCTTAAAAAATAAAATAAAATGAAATTTTATTAATTTCATAAACAATTACATTACCAAATATGCGCTAATTTTGTACACAAAAGGAAAGAAGGAAGTTTGGTAGATTTCTTTCAATCTTATGCAACATAACAGGTGCTTAGGCAAATCCAGGTGCTCAGATGAGAGCATTAATGGAAGATGCGCGTTTTTTATATATAAAAAAAAATTCATTGATTTGAGATGTTGATCTAGATTCGATCAACGGCTTAGATCTAACCACATTTTTTTTAACCTCTGAGCATCTCCGGACCAGAATTTTTCCATACATATATATATATATATATATATATATATATATATATATATATATATATATATATATATATATATATATATATATAAGCGTGCCCAAGTGAGAACGGACACTCATGAAAGAACTTAGAACCACTCGGAATTGTCCATGTATCCAAATTTAACGGATCATATGTAATTTAAAACAAAAAAAAAAATAAAAAAAAAATACTCCGTGACGTTTTCATAAATAACTCAAACTTTGGTGCAAGTAATATGCGTTAAAAGTGCAAGTAACTAGTGCAAATGTGCAAGTAAAATCATTTAAAAGTGCCACCATTTTCACTTTATTGTGCAAGTAATTATCTTTTTAACATTGGTGCACCTAATGATAATGTCTTTGACATTGGCGCACTTAATGATAACATTTGGTGCAACTAATGATAACGTTATTAGATACACTTAATATTAATGCTCAGTGTACATTATTTGTTGCAATGGGACTACCTCCCCCGTGGAACTGTGAAACCCAACATAGATGCACAATTCAACCATATTTGTCAATTTGATTTCACAAAACAAACTAAACACGCGCGCTTTGATAAATTTATATCTATACATATAATAACATAAGAGTAAAAATTGTAAAATAGCAACTTAGAACGGAGCGTTATGTTGTGCAACCATGTGCACCATGCAAGGTGCACACGGAATTGGATCCATAATTTCTATACTATAGATCCATAGTTTTTATACTATAGATTCATAATTTCTATACTATAAATTCAGAATTTCTATACTGTGGATTCATAATTTCGAAACTGTAGATTCATAATTTCTATACTATAGATTCATAATTTCTATACTGTATAGTTATCAAATTATGAACATATAGTTCAGTGATTTGTGAATACAGAGTTCAATAATTGAGAATATGAACATTGAAAATTATAAACATAGAGTTTTGTAATTGTGAATATAGAGTTCAATAATTATGAATTTACAGTATAGAAATTATGAATCTATAATATAAGAATTATGAATTCATGCATAGTGCACACGGTTGGACAACATAATTTGCCACTTAAAACCTTTAAAATAGCATTCATGGGCACATCCAACTGAGCTGCTCCTTTTAGGGAGACATTCAATTTATAATATACACATTTGACAAGCAGTGTCCTAAATCTGATATATGTATATATATATATATATATATATATATATATATATATATATATATGGCAACAAGCCAACAACAACATTAATTAATCTGAAGTTAATGTCGAGTATATATATATATATATATATATATATATATATATATATATATATATATATTATATAGAGGTTCCGGTGCAATTGTGTGTGTCAGGTACGGTTATGGGGTGAGATGAGAGTCAATGATTTTGTCAAGATCAACGTTCAGGATTGACAAAATTAAAAAAAAAAAAAAAAAAAAAAAAAAAAAAAAAAACGGTGACAATTTGGTCTTTTTGCATCTAGGTCAATTTTAAGATGCGTTATTTTTCTTCTTAAGGTGCATGATTTTTGTGCTGTTCTTGAGGTGCGTCAGTTGTTGCAAACTTAATTGCCTCAGTCTAAAGCTTTAGGTACGTGGTT